TGGGTTTCCCTTTGGTGAGCTGGAAGTTTGGGGTTGCATCTTGCTTAAATGTCTTTCATTTTCATTTTTTTTTCTTTAGTTTAATTCTTGTGTTGATGCTTGTAAGTTGCATATGGCAAGTAGCTTTATTGCTAACATTAGAACCCTTAGGGACTGACTTCTTCTCAGAGATGTCTTCCAGGTGTCGCTGGCTTTTGAATTTTGAGTCTGTTGCAAGATCCTACCTCTTCAATTTATTGGGGATGAGAAGTTGCTGCCTATTTGGCCTAGCCCCTGGTTCTTTGGCACTACCCTGTAGTATTGTTTATGACTCTTAGGCAATCTCAGTCTTGGCATACCAGGAACAACAATGGATTAGAATAATTATGATGTCTTGGCTAAAGTAGTACAATTAGCAATAACAATACATTAAACACAGCCTAGAAAATGACAAACTGTGGTAACTATTAATTTGCCACCTTTAACTGTATGAACTAGATTTGTGTTTATATAACAAAATCTAAAACAAATCAGAAAATTGTATGTAGTGAATATGCCTTCAGTATGACAGTTTTACCCTCAGGGGAGAAAATTTAAAAGGGCTTAGGGGAAAAAATAGAGAAATAAAAGAAGAGGAAGAGATTAGAAGCAAGGCTGAAGGACAAAGGAAGATTATGCAAACTTTGGGAAACAGGTGAAGAAGACAGGAGGGAAAGAGAGAAGGAAGAAGTTAAAACAAGAACAGAACAGAAGAAAAACAAAAAAATAAAAACAGTGTTCACACTTATATAAAAACAAGAACAAACAAGAAAAAAAGAAAAAGAAAAATCAAAACAAGAAAAGGAAAAGAAAGAAAGAAAAAAAAAAACCCATCCACTTCAAGGTGTATCTCTGCTGTCACTGGTAGACAAGTTGGGCACACAGAGCCCAGATCCATGTTGATTAATCCCAACAAGCCAGCCATAGATTTGCTGCAGGATAGTGCATAATCCTAGCAATACTTCACCTTTAGTTCTGAAGCTCAGGCTGATTTCTGGCTGTGAGGCTGGAACCCAATTTGTTCAGCCTGCAACACTCTGTGCCTGCTTCTGGTTGCACTCAGCTCCCTCCAGCTTGAACTTGGCTCCTTGACCTCCTGCCAACTTGAACTCGGTTCTGCCTCACCCTGAGCCCACCCCACAGCTGCTCTGAGATCCAAGCTCAGTTAGGCCCTCTCCAAGATGGCAACTGGCCAAATGCCCTTTCCTGGGGGACATCGGAACCCAAATAACTCACCAGCCACTGCATCCACTGCTCTGTTCCACTGGTACATCTCTCTGTGGAGGCCTCTAGGGTCACCAGTAGTCACAGTGTGTCTTCAGTTTCGACCCACCCTTCCCACACAGCAAGCCAAGGCTCAGGGAGAAAGTGCCACTTGCCACCTCCTCCTTCTTTGTTGAAGTCTCCTCACTCTCTGTGACCCTCAATTCTTGCTTCAGATCCTGGCTGGGTCCAGGGGACCCACTTCCCTCCTTCTTCTCTTCCTCACATTGGTATATTCCAGTGTCTAGACACCGAATCTCAGAGTGGCTGTTTCTCTACTGTTCACCAGTTCACCATCTTCCCCATTTCCTCTAATTAATTTATCAATCCAAGACTGCACAGGTTGAAGAGGGAGGGGAAAGAAAAGAAGGGAATGGAATTAATATGAGAAAATGAAAAAATGGCACCAAAGTCTTTGTAAATAGGGAGGGATGGAGGGGTTCAAGGGAGGGCAGGGAATAGGAAAAAATAAGAACCAAGAGAGATTATGTAAAGGTGCAAATTTCCAATGATGAATGTCATTATATTGTATACCTAAAATGTACCAATAAAATAATATTTTAAAAAGATTGTACAAGTAATGAAAAACAGCTGAAATTTAAGCCCAACTATTCTGATTCAGAGTTCATGCTTTAACCCGGAGAGGTGGACTCCATAAATGAGTTAGCCTCTGGACTAGCATAAAAGTGCTGTGAACCTGGTACCCCCTTCCATCTTCTGCCTGCAATCTCTCTTAACTTTTTAACTTTCTCTTTTCCAAACTACACTGGACTCTTGACTTACAAACTCAGTTTGTTCTCAAGTGCTGGTTATAATTCAAGTTGATCAATTGAAAGCTCAGGCTCCTCTACACGGCCTTCAAAGTCTCTCTCCTGTACACAGGCAGATCTTGGTGTACTTAGAGAGACACTGGCCCAGGATTTCTCAATTAACCCCCCACAGGGAAGGATGTTGTAATGTTCCTTCCAGAACTCTTTAAGAGTTAAATCTGTATCTGAGACCATTTGGAAGCACAAGTGGCTGGCATTTGAGTCATAACTCAAGACTTTGGTCATAAGTTAAAACTAAAATCCTGGTCATAACCCAAGTTGTTCATATGTCAGGCTGGACATAACTCAAGGGTCCACTGTAGTTAATTTGTGGCCTCAAGATACAGTTAAACCAATCGACTACTCCATTTTCTCCAGAATTCAGGCTGATTTGGAACCACCAGAAATTTTTCTCACTTTACTTGTGAGAAATATTGTCCCAGAAAACCAGGGTCACTACTGCTCTTCTTAACTGTAAAAGAAGTAATCAATACTCAGTGAATGCCAATAATTTGAGTTGTCCATTGTGCTCCTACACCTTGGGAACCTTCCAGGTCAACACCATTTAAGGCAAGGTAGAGTTGTTTTTTCTTTTTTAATTTGTATAGGGTCTCAGGGTTAGTAGGATATATGTCTATATATCTATATTTATATCTATCTAAAGTGAGTTACAGCTGGGCCTGTGGCACATACCAGCAGGCTGAGGCAGGAGGATAGTTGTGAGTTCGAGGCTAGCCTGGGCTACACAGTGAGACATTGTCTCAAAAAAAATTTTTTTTTAAATAAAGTGAGTTACAAAGGAAATAACTGAACTCTATTGAAGGTAAGTGGTGAGGTAAACTGTCTGCAAAGATGCTACCAACAATTTCTCCCCTCCCTGTGCACCTATGGCCCTCCTCTTGTCAAGAGATAGAGTCTATTTCTCCTCCCTTTGAATTTACTTTCACAAACAGAATGGAATAGAAATAACACTGTGCCAGATCTGGATCCACCCCTTAAGAGACTGGCACTTTCTACTTTGCTCTCTTAGGAACCAGTTCTCACATAAAGAAATTCAACCATCCTACTGGAGAGGGAGGCCATTGTATCTTTCACTATAGAGACAGGGACTCTGGAGCAGGGAAGACTATAAGGAAAGGGAGAGTCCAGAAATCTCCCACCTGCCAAGTGTAGTGGCACACGCCTGTAATCCCAGCACTTGGGAAGCTAAGGCAGAGGATCACCTCGAGTTCAAGGCCAGCCTGGCTACATAGTGAGACCCTGGAAAAAAAGAAAGAAAGAAAGAAAAAGAAAGGAAGGAAGGAAGAAAAGAACCTCCCAGCTACCCCAGCCACCTTAGGGCAGGCACCAATTATGTGAGTAAAGCCACATCGGATCATTCGGCCCTTGTGAAGTCAGCCCAGCCAATACCATGCGGAGTAGAGATGGGCTATTCTATCATGCCCAGCCCAATTTTAGATTTTTTTTTTTTTTTTGAGACAGGGTCTCACTGTGTAGCCCAGACTGGCCTCGAACTCCTGGTGATCCTCTTGCCTCAGCCTCCCGAGTACTGGGCCAAATTTTAGAATCTTGGGTAAATATAGTGTGGAGGTTGTTTTAAACTAGTTAGTTTGGAGGTAGTTTGTTAGCAATAGATAGTTAAACAAAGCAATAGCACATCACTAAAACAGGAGTATATCTGAGGTCCTAAAATTAATAACTTACAAAGATGAATTTCAAATCCATTTCCTCTAAGCAGAGTTCAGAGTTCATCTTTTTTCCAGAAATGACTACTAGAATTCTGTTTAATTCATGAATGCACAAAACATTCTGGTCCCTAAAATATTATGCTGACTTCCTACTGATGCTCAAAATGCCACAAATAAGTTATTTGATAATATATAATCTTGGCCAGGGATTTAGCTCAGTGGTTTCGCCACCTGCTGCACAAGTGCAAGGACCCGAGTTCGATCCCCGGTACCAAAAAAAAAAAAAAAAAATACTATATAATCTCTTCTGGGATACAAAAAACTCCAAGATAACAAATAAGTAACCTTGATTATTGTAGTAAGCCTTAATTGAAGATGTTTCTCAGGTTTTTTTGAGAAAAAGTTGGTTTTTGTTGTATTTTTTGGTACCAGGGATCGAACTCAGGACCTTGCACTTGCGAGGCTAAATCCCTGGCCTGAGAAAAAGTTTTGATTGGCACCAAGAAAACTATTCAAAGTTTGAACCACCCTACATGGTCTAGCCCCATTCTTTCTTTAATGTGGAGTCCTCTGTACCAGCTGTCTATAACTGGTAAAGAGGGTAACCTATGTGTCTATTGTTGCAATAAACTTAATTGTTGTCATATGGATACCAAATTCTGCAGAACTGTTGTAAAAAATTGTAAATTCCTGTGGGCATGGTGGTGCACACCTGTAATCCCAGCACTCAGGAGGTTGAGGCAGGAGAATCACCTTGAATTTGAGGGCAGCCTGGACAATATAGTGAGTTCAAGGCCAGCCTGCACTAGATAGCAAGACCCTGTCTCAAAAAACCAAAAAAGAAAAGAAAAAATTGTAAATTCTAGTTGACCCTTCCCAGTTTGAATCACCCCTTTGTGCTGAGAGTGCAAATTACTTTTTTTCTTTTTCTTTTTTTTTTTTTTGGTACTGGGGATCAAACTTGGGTCCTTGCGCTTGTGAAGCAGGCAGCAAAACCACTGAGCTAAATCCCCTGCCTGCAAACTGCTTTTAACATTAGCCAAAGACAAAATTAAAATGTCATCTAGAAATAAAGCCATATTGCAGTATCAAAAAAATGATTTAAAGATTTTGTACTCTAAGAATTATTGATACACTATATTTCTCCAGTAGCACAGTTGATAAATATTTGCCATAAAATAAATTTGTATTTTCCCTCCCTGGCTGCCTGAGTATCTGTTGCCATCATGAATGACACGGTAACTATCCGGACCCAGAAGTTCACGACCAACCGACTACTTCAAAGGAAACACATGGTCATTGATGTCCTTCATCCCGGGAAAACAACAGTACCCAAGACAGAAATTCGGGAAAAACTCACCAGAATGTACAAGACTACACGGGATGTCATTTTTGTATTTGGATTCAGAACCCATTTTGGGGGTGGCAAGACAACTGGCTTCGGCATGATTTATGATTCTTTGGATTATGCGAAGAAAAATGAACCCAAACGTAGACTTGCAAGACACGGCCTGTATGAGAAGAAAAAGACATCAAGAAAGCAGCGGAAGGAACACAAGAACAGAATGAAGAAAGTCAAGGGCACCACAAAGGCCAATGTTGGTGCTGGCAAAAAGCCAAAGGAGTAAAGATTTTGCAGTGCTTGTCTGCAGTGACTGTGGGTTTTTCATGAGAGGATTAACAAACTGTAAAAACTTTAAATAAAAAAAAAAAGAAAGAAATTTGTATTTTTGGTAACAAGGCTACTTTCAAAAAATAATTTGAAATGTTCCATTAAATATGGAGAATTTACTATATATATATTTAACTTTATTTCTTTCCAAACCTTACTAAAATGACTTCAAAAGAATAGGATCCCGGGGCTGGGGATTTAGCTCAGTGGCACTGCATCTGCCTAGCGAAAAAAAAAAGATCCCAATGGAAAAGGACAAAGAAACCAAGCAGGAAGACAAGTGATAAGAAAACTCAACAAAATGTTAGCAACTGGAAGACAAATGGACTACACAGTTCAGAAACCCTTCTCCCTCCATCCCCATGTCTGCTTCTCAAAGAGCGTTCAGTCAGCCTCTCTCAGCACTTTATTCCCCCACTGAGGGGACTGTTCTACTCAGCACCACGCACGCCTCAGGGAGGGAAGCTGCGCCCCTAGAACGGTACTACTTTGCACCTCCACACTGACGTCTGCCCCAATCCAGGCTACCTGACTTAGGGGTACAGTTAGGAAGTCCACTGACTTCCATACTACACCACATCCTCCAATGAGGCCTCCAACAGTAAGAAAGGTGACACACTGACCTCCACATTTACTTTTTACATTATTGCTCAACCTGTTGGGGACTTTTTTTTTTTTTTTGGTACCGGGGATCGAACTTGGGTCCTTGTGCTTGCACAGCAGGCGGCGAAACCACTGAGCTAACCGGAGACTCTTGAATGAAGAGAGAATGCCATTATTGGGGTCCCTTCCAAGACCCCCCATAGACTAGAGATAATTACCTTAGCAGAGAAGAGAAAATTAAAATTTAACTGCCTACAGGAGGTTAAAAGATAAACTGTTCTACACTGTAGAACTCACAAAGACTCTGGGGCACTAGAAACCCTTGAAGATGAGGGTGAAGGGAAGCATAAAACAACAGATTGAAGGCCCTATTAAATGCAGCGAAATTCCCTTCCAAACACCGGCCTATGGAGGTCAAATAAAGTTACTCTAAATTCAGGCACAACTAAGTAAGATGCAGTGAAAACCAGCAGAAAAAAAATGAAAAGCTGTATTTCAAACAGTGACAGATTAGAGGATGTAATTTCTCTCCAGAGAAATGACCAGCTGAGACACAAGCCCAGAAGCACTGACACATGGTCGGAAGTGGCTGGAGACAGTGCCTGCCCCTCCCTGCACCCTGCACCCACCCACCAACGACTGGACCCCCCTTCCAACAGTCTCAGGCTTAAATACAAAGGGTGGTGAAAACTACAGGGAATGTTTAAATTTTTTAAATTTATGACAGGAAAAGACACATTGCCATTAATCTCCCTCAGAATACTCCCGCTTGCTTTGAACACGGCCTACCATTCTTGTCACTTTGTGAAGCAGTGCTGGAAGTCCTCTTTCATGAGTAGCTTTTTTTTTTTCCTTAGGTTCTTTTATTGGTGCATTTTAGGTATATAATTTTTTTACGTTTATCATTGGATGTTTGTACCTGTACATGATTTATCTTGATGCTTATTTTTTCCCCATTACCTGTGTGCCCTTCACCGCCTCCATCATTCCCTATTTACATAGACATCATTTCCTTTTTTAAAATTTTTTCTCATAATTTTTCCTTTCCCTTCTTTCCTTTCTTTCATGAGTATCTTTACATGGTGTGATCAGAAACATAGTGAATGGCGCTGCCAAGTGTTATCCAGTGGAAAAGCGGGCTGGTAAAAACATTACCATGTGTCTTCATCCCCAAATTTGACACACACAAAAAATACTTTTTAAAAAGTTTGGGCAGATTACTTGATATGTTGGAATAGAATTAGAGTTATCTTTTTTTCTTTTCTTTTCTCTCTGCGGTACTAGGGATTGAGCCCCAGGAGTGCTGAGCTATACTCCTAGCCTCAAACCTACAATCCTGCCTCAGCCTTCCAAGTAGCTGGGATTACAGGCCTTCGGCACCACAACCAGCTAAGAGTTACATTTTTCAACAGTGAATTCAGAGATGAATAAGCAACTAGAAAATCAATTCAAGGGGAAATTAAAAGTTGTATAAGAAAGGAAATATGAGATACTCCTTTGAATGCAGATGTACACATTGTGATACAATAATTATATTAAGAAGTGGGAGGGTCAGGGATTTAGCTCAGTGGCATCTCGCCTGCCTCGAAAGTGCAAGGTCCTGAGTTCGATCCCTGGTACCAAAAAAAAGAAGTGGAAGCCAGGCATGGTGACACAAACCTGTAATCCCAGCACTTGGGAGGCTGAGGCAGGAAGATCACTGTGAGTTCGAGGCCAGCCTGGGCTACATAATGAATGTAATGAATTGAGACAGCAGCAGCCAGTTGGAAATATCTGCTATTGACATGAAAGGTTTTGGTTTTTGCTTAAGTATCTTAGTATGTTTTGAGTAAAGACTAATTTTTTTGTCCTAATAACATCTCTGTGATCTCAACCAAGTCACTTACCTTTCAAGGCTCTTGTTCTATTTATTTATTTTTATTTTTGGTACCGGGGATGGAACTTCTTGGGACATAGCACTTGGGAGGCAGGCGGTGGCGCCACTGAGCTAAATCCCTGGCCCCTAGACTCTTGTTCTAAGAAGTGTACAGGGCTGGGGATGCAGCTCAGTGCTGTGGCAAGCCCTGGGTTGGATACCCAAGCATAAGAAAGAAAGAAAAGAGCTAATTAAAAAAAAAAAAAAAAAAAAAA